ATTCAGCCTTTGAAACAATAAAATATTTTTATTATGTGCTTTGTGAAATCTTCTTCCTTAACTACATCTTGCAAGCTCTGCAAGTAGCTGCACAAGGCGTGAAGGCTTGAAGATTAAAATGGAAGAGATGTTAGGATTTTCTTCATTTTAATGAGTTCCATGGTGTATTTTGATGCTCAGTCTATGAAGTTCAGGTACTGAGAAGAGAGTGATGCAACCGCTTGAGCAAGTAAAGTCAGGAGTAAAAGTTGAAGTGACTTGGAGTATTAATGGGCCCCACTGAGGGCTGTTACTAACAAAGGCTCCCCAGGGCCTTATTAGGGCAGATAATTGGAAGCCATGGTTACAGAGAGGCAAAGCACTGTGCTGAGAAAAGTCTTGGTTGGTTTTAGTGAAGCAGAATTGGCAAGGCCTGACCCCTGGAACTGGGAGGGGAGATCCTGCACCCCCATGTCTGGCTCAAGGCTTTTCCTGGGGATCTGTGGGATGGGGTGGGCAGTGTGATGCCGTGAGAAGAAGAGTGGTATGAAACCTCTGAGCTGTTGCATGTGTTGAAAGGAATCTATGAGGCCCCATCACAATGAATATAACATATCTCCTCATAAGCTCTAACCAAAGGGACAAAACCTTCACGGCAGTTGGGGCATTCCCTTTTTATCAGCACCCTCTGCCTTCTCCTCCACAGGCTTTCCTATGCTGTCCCACACATTGCCCTATTTTCTTGAGTCTGCAGACACCCATCTCAGTTCACCATCTTGTCCTCATCCCTAGCTTTCACTGACCTCTTGTCAACCCTCACCAGCTATTTATTGAAACACAAAGCAAGGGTCTGATCAGAGGGTGACCTTTTGCACCACAACATGACCCTCTGAGGGACATTTCTTCCTCCTCGTGGCCAGTGCATAACTTCCAAGGTGCACTTTGTGGCATTTTTTTCTCTCCTGCTCTTTCTTACTACCAAAGGAAGCTCCATCAGGGTGGAAACCACTCCTGAAGTAGGCATCCCAACCCAGCAGGCTCCTTGCAGCCTCTCAGCCAACCAGACACAAGTCGCCTCAGCAGAACCTTCCAAGCCACGGGCCTGCTGCTGGCCTTGCAGCTTCTTGTGGAGACACAGCCAAGCCTTGTGCCTGCTGCTGCCCACTCATGGACTCAAGCAGAAGGGACAGGACAACCCATATGGGGGCCTTCTTTCTGCCTGGGTCCTCCTGGGTCTGGAGGCTGAGGGGATCCCCCAGTCAGCATGCCAAGCAGGTGCCTTCTGCTGGCCTAGCAGGGCCACTGCCAGATGTCAGCCCAAAAGTGCAGATGCCAGGGAGAAGTCAAGGCTGACCTGCCACCTCCAGACACAAGTGACCTCCCAGTCCCTTTCTGTGACACGTTCCTGCTGCTGCCCTATCAAGTGCAGAGAGAGAAGTGACCTCACAGTCCCTGCCACAGTCACATTCCTCCTTCTGGGGCAGGAGATGCTGAGGCAGAGCTGAGCTCCCCAGAGCATTCCCACCCATCTCCTCCTTGTGGCCCACAAGCTGACCAGATCCATGGCCCCTAGAATTCATTTCGTGTTAGGGTTTTGTTTAGGTCTCTTAAGCAGTTGTCTAGTGTTAAGTGGACCATTTAATGCTAGTATTAAGGGCAGAGATCAGAGTGATTAAGAGAGTAAGAGTTAGGGGAAGCAGCTATGGGCTGACTTTTGTCTCCAAGTGATACGTTGAGGTCAGTCATTAGAGTAGTGGATTCCTGTCAGGGTACTGAGTAGCATTTAGTTTTAGGAAGCAAGTTTACAGGTTGAAGCTGGGGAATAGCTTTGTATTACTATTTTAAGTCACAGTTACTGCCGTATCAGCATAACCTGAACCCTCTTACCTCTACAAAATCCTTAATTTCTGCTGGCCAAACCCCTATTCCCTCCTCTCAGTCTCACATTTCTCCTGGCCAGGCTTCTCCTGATTTCCCCATATCAGCTATCTTTTTAGGGACATGCTTATGATGTCTTTCATGATCTTAGACTATCTGTCAGTACTCTGTTGGCTACTATATTCCTGAGAAAATTGACACTTAATACACAATGGAAAAGGACACACAAGTCCACCAGAGCACCCTGCACAATGTGTCCAGCAGCTTGGCACCATCACAAAAGTGTGGTTTCTGCCTACAAGTTTTCTTTCCAGAATGGCTCCTATGGCTCCAGGGTAACTTTTCCCAGGCACTCAGTTCCCCAAGCCACACCACTCTTGCCCGCAGGATCTATGTGTCTCTCCAACCCTCCCCTCTTCCCCTGCAGTAGTGGCACCTCAGCACAGCAGGTTGGTGCATCTCCAGGCTCAGGGGTGTTTCCTGAAGGCCTGCCCCGTGTGGGGAGTGGTGGGGAGGAAGAGAGCAAGGTCATCTCCTGGGGCATGGCTGAGCACAGCCCAGCCATCCTGCACCGCGGGCAGGCCCGTGCTCCCAGGCTGAGGCACACATGCAAGGTGGACACTTCTCCATCATTCCAGCTTCACGCAGGGACCTTCAGCGCTGTCCTAGTAACAGGAGTGACCTCGTCCTCCTACTCCATCCACAGACAGCTGCTAAAGCTCTGAGTGTCTCTGTTTCTCACAGCTTTCACCCAAGTCTTTCTCCTGGCCCTCCCCACTGCCCAGCACTGCCTCTCAGGTGGCACTCAGTGACCCTTCAGAAGGGCCTTTGGGCTTCCTCAAATGTCCTGGTGCTTATTAGCACCTCCTTGGATCCTTCCAGAGCTCAGAGGGAGCTTTCTAGTCCAGCACAGGGCCCTGCACTGGCTGTGGCTGGGATGGCGTTACTCTATGCAGATCATCTCCTGTGGTTCTGTGTTTTTGATGTTTCTAGAGCAGTGTTGGTCACCCATGGCTCTGGTCCCTGTTCCTGAGCATTGCTTGCACAACATCAAGGCCTTCTCTGCTTCTCACTCTGCCCGACCAGCAAGGTGGTTGAGGGTGGGCAAAAGTCTAGGAAGGGAACCCACTGTGACAGCTGACCCAGCCTGACCAAATGGATGTTCCATGGCACATAACATAGTGCTCAGCAATACATATTGGGATCATCTTTCCAAGACAAGGTGGCACTCTCTCAGAGACTGCGTGCACAATGGTCTGCTAGTGGGAACTGATGAGTTACAAAATGTTCATCATGTTTGGCTTTTGATTTTTATTTCTTTCTTTTTTCTTTTCCTTTCCTATCCTTATGTGTCTTTCTCTCAATTTGTGAATTTCACTTACTTATACTGTTCCCTATCCTCTGCCCTCTAGAGGAGGAGTAAGGAGGCAGCCCATGAAAGTTGCTGTCTGGGGTGAGCAAGGAGGAGGCTGGCTATGGTGCCAGGAGATGGAGGTCCGTGAAGCTGCAGGAGCCCTGCTCTCTTGCCTGGCAGATCCCCAGCACACAGTGCCTGTGCCCCGCAGGGCCAGCCCTGCTCCCCAGAGCAGCACAAGAGGCCTGGCCCAGCCACAGTGCAGCCTGCCCAAAGAGCTTTCTCCTTCTCATTTCTGTTTTTATACAGGACCAGCAATGCTGCCCTGCTCTTTCCCAGGGCCATCCCTGCTCCCAGAGGGACTTGTCCAGGGCAGTGTGTCTACGCTAGCCTGGCTGGCCATTGCTGCTTCCCTCCCTGTGCTCCCCTCAGGGCCCCGAGGTGGTGGATCTGCTGTGAGAGCCAGGGGCTCTGGTGCGCTGGGATACCCACGGGTCTTCCCCATGTGCGTGCTACTCAGGGTGGGCAGCAGACCCAACTCCATGGGGATCTCTGCTCCTGAGCCCCTTTCCATGTGTGCTGATGGCTCAGCAGCACAGGGCAGTGCTGGGCTTATCCATGGGGTGTGTCTGAGGGCACAAAGGGCAGGCGAGTGTTGCACCAGACCTGGCCCAGGAGCCTATAAGGAGGGTCTCCACTGTTAATTTGCAGTCTAATGGGTCTTCACCTGCTGCCTCTTCATTGCCTCCCCTGGCATTGCAGAGACTTCCTTAGAACAAAGACACCTCAGATTCACTTTTCCCTCTAAAAAATACACCTAAAAGTTCTTCTTTGGATGGTCATTCATTTTACAAGGTCCTAATCACTGCCCACTGAACACCTTGTCCATGAAGATCACCTGACATCTCTGGCAGCTCCAGATTCCTCTGCAGGCCTGAATCGGCCATCAGCCCCACTGCAGGAGGTGCAGTCCCATCAAGATGAATCCAGTTGTCTACTTTGGGAAGTGCCACCATAAAGAGAGCTCTCGGTGCAGCCCTTGATCCCTCACAGAACACCCTGGGACTTTTTAAGCCTGAACTCCACAAAGATGCCCAGATAACAGAAGAGCAGGGAGCAACCCCTTGGCTGTATTCCTGGCAGCAGCTTTGGAAGAGGAGTCTGGGCTTGTGGGTTTGCCCTGAGCAAGACCCTCTTGTTACTGTGGTGCTAGCAGGGAGGCCAGCTGTCAGCCACGGCTGCACTGTACTTGCTGCTGCCTTCAGGAATTGGGATGCCACTGTAGAGACAACAGGACTGTTACCAAGGTACACGAGATCTGATGGCTTATCCAAATACAAGAGAAAAGGAGAAAAATGTGGAGACCAAAAGAGAGAAGCAGTGAAAAGGCCACGTTCTGCTGCTGGCCATGGCCCTGGATCCAGGGAAGCAGCAGCCCTGACCCAACCTCCATCTGACACCAGGGCTCCTGGTCCTGAGCCCCTCCTGCATGCTGGGGCTGTTTCCCCAGCTCCAGAGGAGATTGGAAGAGATGGTAGCGGGTAACAATGTGGTTCTGATGTTTGTTTTTGTTTTAGTTTTTCTTTTTGTCTGTGTTTCTCTACATGGTAAGCCTGCTTCTTTAGGTAATTAGAAGATTGGGTATTTAAAATGAAAAAAAAAAATCAGGTAGCAGGTTAAGGATAATATTATTTAAATCAAAAGGAATAATTTGAAGAAAATATTTTAGGGAAATGTAATAATTAGTTTTTTTTCACAGTTCCTGAAATAATCAGGGAACTCACAGTCATTATTGATTCCAAAAAAACAGGTTTCCAAAGAGTTTCCTTACTGCATTCTTGAGCTCCTGGTTCCTCATGCTGTAGATGAGGACGTTCACTACTGGAGGTACCACTGAATACAGAACTGCCACAACAAGATCCATGGATGGGAAGGAGATGGAGGGGGGCTTCAGGTAGGCAAACATGCCAGTGCTGATAAAGAGGGAGACCACAGCCAGGTGAGGGAGGCACGTGGAAAAGGCTTTGTGCCGGCCCTGCTCAGAGGGCATCCTCAGCACTGCCCTGAAGATCTGCACATAGGACACCACAATGAAAACAAAACAAACTAATGTGAAAGAAACACTAAACACAAGTGCCCCAACTTCCCTGAGGTAGTAGTCTGAGCAGGAGAGCTTGAGGATCTGGGGGATTTCACAGAAGAACATGTCCACAGCATTGCCTTCACAGAGGGGCAGGGAAAATGTGTTGGCCGTGTGCAGGACAGCATCAAGAAAGCCACTGCCCCAGGCAGCTGCTGCCATGGTGGCACAAGCTCTGCTGCCCAGGAGGCTCCCGTAGTGCAGGGGTTTGCAGATGGCAATGTAGCGGTCATAGGCCATGATGGTGAGGAGATAGCACTCTGAACCAAAAAAGAAGAATAAAAAGAAGACCTGTGCAGCACATCCTTGATAGGAGATGGCCCTGGTGTCCCAGAGGGCATTGGCCATGGCTTTGGGCAGAGTGGTGGAGATGCAGCCCAGGTCGAGGAGGGTGAGGTTGAGGAGGAAGAAGTACATGGGGGTGTGGAGGCGGTGGTCGCAGGCTACGGCACTGAGGATGAGGCCGTTGCTCAGGAGGGCAGCCAGGTAGATGCCCAGGAAGAGCGCAAAGTGCAGGAGCTGCAGCTCGCGTGTGTCTGCGAATGCCAGCAGGAGGAACTCACTCACAGAGCTGACATTAGACATCTCTTATTTCTGGTCATGAGGTCCTGTACAAGGAAGACAAAGGCAGTGATAATGTACCACAGACATATCGGAGTAAAACCCTTTCCATTTTCTCATTTAAAATCACCAAAAAATTGCCCATTTCCAGGCAGATATTTTGGAGCTCTCTTTCATTGATTCTGTCTGAGAGTGCCTCTGGGAGCAGGGGATCCTCTGTGGGCAATGGAAGAATCAGTTCTGTACTACTGCCAGAGGGAGTAGCATGGTAGGAACATGGTAGGAACATGGTAGGAACATGGGGTAGTCTCAGATTAACTTTACTGCTGTATCAAAGAGATTTCCCCAGTTTTGCTGCTAGTTCACCTAACTGCAGAGCAGAGGTGTGGAGGTTTAGATATGTAATATCTATTTTGGGCCCGGATAGCCGGGCCCAAAGAGTTGTGGTGAATGGAGCCAAGTCCAGTTGGAGGCCAGTCACTAGTGGCGTCCCCCAGGGCTCGGTGCTGGGGCCGGTCCTCTTTAATATCTTCATCGATGATCTGCACAAGGGCATTGAGTGCACCCTCAGTAAGTTTGCAGATGACACCAAGCTAGGTGCGTGTGTCGATCTGCTCGAGGGTAGGAAGGCTCTGCAGGAGGATCTGGATAGGTTGCACCGATGGGCTGAGGTCAACTGTATGAAGTTCAACAAGGCCAAGTGCCGGGTCCTGCACCTGGGGCGCAATAACCTCAAGCAGAGCTACAGGCTGGGAGAGGAATGGTTGGAGAGCTGCCAGGCAGAGAAGGACCTGGGAGTGATGGTAGACAGTCGGCTGAATATGAGCCAGCAGTGTGCTCAGGTGGCCAAGAAGGCCAACGGCATCCTGGCTTGTATCAGAAACACTGTGACCAGAAGGGCTAGGGAGGTGATCGTCCCCCTGTACTCGGCTCTGGTGAGGCCGCACCTCGAGTACTGTGTTCAGTTTTGGGCCCTCGCTACAAGAAGGACATTGAGGTGCTTGAGCGGGTCCAAAGAAGGGCGACGAAGCTGGTGAGGGGCCTGGAGAGCAAGTCCTATGAGGAGCGGCTGAAGGAGCTGGGCTTGTTCAGCCTAGAGAAGAGGAGGCTCAGGGGTGACCTTATTGCTCTGTATAAGTACATTAAAGGAGGCTGTAGAGAGGTGGGGGTTGGCCTGTTCTCCCATGTGCCTGGTGACAGAACGAGGGGGAATGGGCTAAAGTTATGCCAGGGGAGTTTTAGGTTGGATGTTAGGAAGAATTTCTTTACTGAAAGGGTTGTGAGGCATTGGAACAGGCTGCCCAGGGAGGTGGTGGAGTCACCATCCCTGGAAGTCTTCAAAAGACGTTTAGATGTAGAGCTTAGGGATATGGTTTAGTGGGGACTGTTAGAGTTAGGTTAGAGGTTGGACTCGATGATCTTGAGGTCTCTTCCAACCTAGAAATTCTGTGTGATTCTGTGATTCTGTAATTATTTGTTTTGTGTTTTTGGTTGTAGCTGCCCCACCACACCGGAGAACTGTTTCTAAGGCATAAATCCTGAGCATTCTGCTACACTCCAAGTGAAACTTTGCGGATCCTCAGAGGCAAAGAGATTGTCCCTTTAGTGCCGAGTGTCCCTCAGACACAACAGCCAGCCTCTCCATCAGTGCTGGTCTCAGCTGCCCTGTGAGAGCTGCAGGAAAGTTGTGCTCAGTTGTTCATCTGAAAAGAACCTGAACACTGCTGACAGCAGAAGAATCTGGGATCAAATTGCACATCTCCACACCCCTCACTTTGTCCCCGTACTCCCCTTTTCCCAAACACACCAAGGGCACACCACTGCCTCTGAAATCCCCATCCCCAGCCAGCCTGGGAACAAGACCAGCAGCGGCACGGCCAGCTGGAGAAGCCAGCAGGAATGCCAGCGTACTGCTGCCAGGGGAGGCAAGGCCAGGGAGGGACAGACAGACACTCAGCAGACCCTCCTGTGCTGCAGCTCTGCCTGCAGAGGAGGCAGCTCCTGCTCATTGCAAATGATCTGTGTTCACCTCAAGCCAGCAGAGACCTCCAAAAGACAGGGCACTGGTCACTGGAGGATTTGCAGCTCCAAAAGATCAGCTAGTATAAAACCTGAGAGGACCACAATGATGATGTTGGTGTAGTTTCTGGGCTGAACTGTTGGAAGGGACTTTATGAAGTTCATTGATTAAATATTGATCTCTCACTGCAATGTTCTAGGAGTCTCAGTCTTCAGTACAAACCTGACCACCTATTACCATGAAACCAGCCTCCGCTGTACCACAGGTATCTGCAAGCACAGGCTACAGAAAAAGTCTTGCCATTCAGGTATCCCCTGCCTTGGTCTTCCTTTTCAAAAATCCAATCATAAATGCCATTCTCTAAAGCATTTTCTACTCGTTTCTGGAGAAACAGAGAAACTCACCCTGACAGATGCTATCAGCCATCAGATGTGCCAGCTGTAGAAGACCCCTCTGGCAACCCCACCTGCAGTGCCCTGCTGCCAGAGCCTCACGGTGTCAAGAGCCTGCAGATGTGTCCTGCCACACGCTGCCCTCTGTTGTTGTGCTCCTCAGTGCCTCCAAGCCCTCTCTCTTTCTCTCCTCTCTGTGTGCCAGCTGCGGTCAGAGCCCCCAGCCCTGCTGCGCTGTGCAGAGGAGCTGCTCCTGGGCACAGCTGTCTCTCTGCAGCAGTTGCCAGGAGCTCCCCTTGGGCCCAGGAGCCCGGCCCAGCTCAGCAGCACAGCACCCGACCATGGCATCGCTTGCTCTGTGCCCTTGGGCTCCCTCGAGGTGTCCCCAAGGCCTCAGGGCTGACAGCTCCTGAAGGCAGCAGGGTCTCTGCTGGGGTGTGGTGGTTGAAGCAGACTGAAGTCATCACTGTCTGCTCCTAGATTAATTTGGGAGAGACTGATTTTAGGCTCTTAAAGTTTGATTGTCAAACATGAGTACAACTGTTTCCCTCCCTTAACCCCTATTGTGTTCCTACTGCACGGCAGGACACCTCAGCCACGACTGCCAGGGATCATTTCACCCCTCTGAATGTGTCCTAACAAGAGAGGGGGGAATCGAATGCTCTAAAAGGTTTTCCATGAAGGGAATTGGACACTAAAACACCATTTGTTGAGTTTTCCCAGTAATCCACAGAGAAAATCCTCTACCCATAGAGAAATCTCTTCTTCCTCTCTCACATGACCAGCACGATGACTGGGATGTGGAACACCCCCATCACTGTGCTGGTGCCTGACACCTGCATGACTGCAGTGCTTCCTGCTGGGGACCATGCCCTATGGTCAGCCCTGGGCTGCATGTCATCCCTGTTCTCTGCAAGGTTCGAGTAGTGGAAGGTCTGGCTCCAGAAGGCAGCTGTACCTGAACCAGGGGAATTTCTCTCATGTAGAGAAGTTATTTCTTCTCCTCCCAGCTATTGTTCTGTGGTCCCAGTGTCATAGATATCTTCTGTGGTTTTTCCCCATTGCTGGAGCTGTCCTGCAGTGCCAAGGTATTACTCACGGTCTTTGATTTCATAAACTACATATTGGATCCAATCTCCCTCTTCCCTCTCATGCAGTTTTCAGGTGTGTGTGTGTCCTGTATTGGCAGGCCAAGGCCTTATCCACCTGCTCTTCTGTCCTCACGAGTATCACTGTTTTCTATGATACTGCCATCACTGTCTGTGAGAAGCCCAAATACAGCCCTCCTCAAAGATCTTAATGAAGCCCTTTCTTAAACCAACTTCCTCCCAGTCAGTCCTCAGGTTGTCCAGAGGTGGTGTGGGAAGTCTGAGAGAGGTTCAAGTGGATCTGCAGATGTCATCACAAGACCTCTCTCAAAGACCTTGGAAAGGACAGATGGATCAAAGACATTCCTCAGAACTTGGAAATGACAGATGTCAAAGCCATCTTCTAGTAGAGGGGAAAGCAGAAGGATGATAAAGCCTAACCAAGGAATAAAATGCCAACCTTAGCCTTAACTCCCACACCAGACCTAAACTGAAGTCCTCAAAGCTTGCCCTTATCCTATACCTTGAGCAGGCACCTTAAGCACAACACCAATCTCTCCCTTGATGATTTGCTGTTCCCTTGACCCTGGAGGGTGACCTCTAATCCCTAAACATTAACTTGATCATCTAACCCCCAAAGCCCTCCACCACAAACACAGCACATCTCATCTTCAACCCCACTCCTACCCCTAACTTCAGCTTCTTGTCCCCTTGGGATAGGTCAGGGACTGTGAGGTCCTGCAGCAGTCCCATGGCATTGGAAGAGGCATGTGAGGTGACAGGTATGTGATCAGATCAGAGGCCACAAGGTGAAGCTGGCTGGGAATGCTGGGATGAGGTCAGGTGTGCCTCTGGATCTTCTGAGCCTGCAGGAGGCACATGGCTGGGAAGGGGGCTGGGAGGTCACTTCTGCCTCTGGAGCTAACAGACCAGCAGCAGGAATGTGGCACAGATAGGGATCGTAAACGGCAGAAGCATGCACATGGCATTGAAGATGATGGTGAGGCACCTTCTGTTCTGGTCAGGTGGTAGACCACAGGAAGGCTGATGGCATGGGAGTCATGCTTGAGGTAGAGCTAGTGAGACCATAGAATCAGAGAATGGCTCCTGTTGGAAGGGACCTTAAAGGTCATCTAGTTCCAA